TACCTTCTTCATTAGTTACTCCAAAATCGTAGCCACCATGAATATTTCTGAAATCTTCTACCACTCTACCGACATGTCCATTTAAATCTCCTCCAATAAAAATTCTTTCTTCAAGAGGTATCATTTGTATTAAGTCTTCTAAGTCATTCCAAAATTTATCTTTAGACTCTGTATCTAAACCTACTTGAGGAGCATAAACACTTATAATATTAAAAATCTTAGTATCAATGATAATCTTAAGCGCTATAATTCTATCACCAATTCTATTAATTTTTACAACATTATCTTTCAAACTCTTATCTATAATTACACCTACACCATTTCTAGTGCGACTCTTACCAGAATACCAAAGTTTAAAACCTAAATTATAAATCTCCTTAGCCTTTTCTCCCACCCACTTAGTTTCTTGAATACATAAGATATTAATTTTCATATGAATCATAATATCAACTAATTTCATTAATTTACCATTGAGAGTATTCCATTAATTTACCATTGAGAGTATTGAGCAAAGGCTGATAATTCCATTAAATTATCAGCCTTTGCTTAGAACATGAAAAATGGTACTCTATGACAATAACAAAATGGACCAAAAACTTGCAGAGCTTCAATGTGTGCATTCTAGATTTTTTTAAAAAAAAAAACACTTTTATGGATAAGAAGATAAATTTGAGCAAACTTCGTTCAAATATTGCATTCAAAATACAATTTAAGTCCCATTTAAATCTTTTGGGTGTTAAATCTAAAATAAGATGCAAATATTATAAATGGATTCAAGTGGATTTAGCATTAATAGTACTAAACACATTTTTGGATTTAATAATATTTGATTTGAAAAATCTGAATTTATAGGATTAATTCCTATATGTTAAATCATGGGTGTGGCTAAACTCTTCCTAAAAGTGAAAATTTATTGAAATTGAAGGACTACTAGATTAAAGCATAAAATTTCACCGCTTTGATATTCACTCGGTTCGAGAATCGAAGAGGTAGGGACACTGGGAATGCTGGGAACGAACCTCTAGATTGTGTTGACGATGAGATTGCTTCGCTTAGGGGACTATCTCACCACTCACTTCGACATGCTTAGTTTCGAGATGCTTCGCATAGGGCGGCTCAACGACCTTACCGTGTACAAAAAGTGTCATGATCAGGCATGGGGCTTGAAATTAACCAATGTAGGAACAGACGGTCAGGCATTGAAATTAAGTTTTATCTTATTCTAATTCTATTACTAACAGTTTAACATCAAATATTAATTGAAAGAACCACTAAGATAGCATTTTAATTTACAAATAAAATCTCATCTCACCGATTGCTGATTTCTTCTTCCGTAAACATTTTTTTTTCTAGTATTCATCTTATTTAAAGGCTTAAAACCTAAAAAAAGATTAAAACATAATAAGCTATCTATGATAACAAAGTAGAGAAATCACACTTCTAATCTATGAAAAAGAAATCAATATGCATAGTTGTCTTTCATATTTAATTATAGAAATTAATACATGTATTTATGACATTTACTCAATGAAAAATAATCTAAAAATTTATATGCATTTACTTTAACTTTACTTTTCAAAGTTTATTCTT